CAGCGTTCTGGATGCAGAGTTTCAGAAAGAGTGGGAACTTTTTAAAGAGACAGAAGCCGAATTCCAAGGCAATTGCGAAGTCAAAATTCTTTTTAGTCATATTTGATATATTTATATCTACTTGTTTGTGCTATAAAATTATACTATGTGGCTGGAAAACTCGTAATTCTTTAAACACAGCAGAAACTTTTAGTGACACGATGCAGTGCAGATTGAGGATTGTTTCTCTGAAGCGGAGAATTAATGTGTCAAAAGGGAAATATATGCAACACCATTAAACAGCCATAAAAGCATTAGGTATTGATTATTGCACATTTATAAATTGCACACATGTGGAGACTGTGTATAGTTATATGAAACTGTGTTTCTGTGATAGAAAATAAAACATGTTTAAAAAAAGTTCAGCTATAACACTTCTGAGGAAATTGCCAGCTTTTCCCATCAAGCACTCATGAAGTATTTATGCATTCCAGTTTGAGCGGCGCGCTCCAGGCTCCTGGAGGTAGTGGATTCCCTGGCTTGCTCTCCTTCCCTGCAGTACCAGGCTTCCCTCCCTCTGCCTCCGCTGCTGCTCTCAGCGGCCTCCACAACCCGTCGATGCCGTCTGCTCTACTTCAGGCATGTTCCGTAAAAACAGTATGCTGTGGTCCAAAAATATTTGACTATCATTTTAATAGACTCTTGTAAAAACTCAGCTACTTTCTTGTGTTTCAGGGTCATCCTACATCTGCACTAGAGAACTTTCCTCCTCAACCCAACTACCATCCTGGTCCTGGAAACCCCTTCTCTCTCCAACCAGGACTACACCCCCAGTTGGGCTGGCAGTGAAACATGCAGTTCAAGACATTCAAACTTAGACCCTGAACCCGATGCTTTGCCCCTCCCTGTTCTCCTAGGAGGTAATGTGTCACTGGCCTTGATCCCTCAGGACTACAAAACAGCACTGTTACAGAAGGAGCGTCTAAATTGAAGAAACACTAGTCTGGATATGTATGGCATACTTGTAATAACTAGGAGGTAGGAGTTGTAAATATCAGCAACGAAGTTGTGAGGTTTAACACATAGGTTGTGACTAGATGAAACAATAGCTTTGACTTGCCTGTTTTTAATAATTATTATGAACATTTATTACAGAATTATGCAAAATATGACAAATGTAAAACTATAGCTATCATTATCATGATGAACTGTTTTATATGATTCAGCAGGAAAGCGAATGGACACATAAATTCTGTCGTTTACCTGTTATTACAATGTGAACTTACCACTGACCTGCTGCTTATGAAATGGATTTTTAGGTGGAATAATTATGATGTTTGTGCAGTTTTGGTCAGTGTAATGTCCAAGGTCATTCTGATCTGGAAAGAATGTGTTTGTGTGATATAAAATATCCCAGGCCTGAAAAGTCAGGAAGAGATATGAAATAACATTTCGCAAAAGTGCTATAAACAGCACTTTTCCGTAACTAAGTATTGAAATGCCTCAGCTGTGGACAGTTCCTGAACACACTCATAGGAATCCAGCATGAAATGAGCCAAGCGATCTGCACAAGTGGAAGAAAAGAACTCCAATTTTTAAAAAAACATCCAAATAGACACCAATATTTATGAAATCCTATAAAAGGCCTTGTGACCATTAAAAAGCAGCAGACCTTCTGTAATGGAACTTGTAATGCGTACACAGCTTTGCTGAATAAATCTCCTCCTGGTTGGCCTGATTGGAGCAGAGAGATTTGAGTCCTGTGTGATGATTTTTATTTTATAAGTTTGCTACATTTTCACTCTTTGACAGATTCAGTCTTGTAAATATTTTTTGTTGTGTGAAGAGGGGGACTGTTCCATCTTAAAAATTGATTTTTGGCAGCTTTGGTCAAGTTTTGGACTTTTGATGTATATATCTGTGAGTATTTTACCGTCATTCACCTATTTTTTATTTTATTTTATTTTTGACACTTTGTCTGACTATTCCTGTACTGTAACAGTAGTATTTGACCAGATATACAGCTACATCACATAATGTAGATTACCAATGAAATGCTAATTTATCTCAGTAATTCAGTAAAATTTGATTGGATTGAATTAAATGACTTTCAAATGAAGAAAGGAGTAGCTCTTTAGCTTTGGCAGGATGCTGTCATCATTGTCCCTGGTTCAGCAGTGGGTGACCTTAAATAATGTGACAGTTGTAGCCCATGTATTGGGTGTATCTGTCTGTGTGTTGAAGCACTGTCCCAAACCCAACTGTCTGTATGAATATCACCTAAACTGTTAAACTGTTTTGATTCACAACCATCTCAAGGCTTCCAGCTGAGTTTTACTTTTTGATTTGATTAAATTATTTCACTTTATGATCATCAGATCGTTTATTGAGAAGAAGCTGATGTTTATGTTCTTCACAAGTTGATTGATGTGTTTATGAATTGTTCACACCATTTTTTTTTTAAATAACAGGAACAAATTATGTTTATTGACTTTGCCATGCACATACACAGTTGACAGATTGTCTTAAATGATGAACATTTTAATTTAGATTTGTCCTGTTTGTATTTGCATATGTTCCACATTTTCTCAGTGATCTAGTTTCTGTAGTTGTTTCTGTTTGTGTTGCATTGACTGTCCAGGCACCCTTTAAATAAAATTACCCAACCTAAATGAAATATAAAGTATGATATATGTTTTTTTTTCATTTATTTATTTTATTTATCTGAATTAAGAACATGTTGGACATACATATACATCTATATATCTGTCTGTCTTTCTGTCTACTTATTTTTTATTTATTTCGAACATGATGATACAAAATCACACACATGAACAAGGAATGCAAGACACAGGAGTAGGAAGTAAAATACTCCTACCCCATAAACTCGTGCCATATTTTCAGATGGACCCTCATTATTGAATCAAACTAGAAAATAAATAATATAGCACACCAACAACAAAAGTAAACTTAAAAATTCTAAGTTCCTGAAAGTTGCCACCATCACATCCATTCCCACACATATAACTTTTTATTTGCCTATGCAATACTCATAATTTGTCAACCTTTATGATACTTATCAACATCAGTGCTATTGCTCAATACAGGTGACCAGTCAGGTGTCGATTAGTCACAAGGTTTGCCGCTCACATGATTCCTTAATCTATTTCCACTCATCTTTATTTTCCACGAGTGTTTGATTACTCTCACCTTTTCCAAACAAAAGAAATATTGTAATCACTAAACATTTTCTCCCACAGATATGCGTACAGTTTTCTAAAAAGCTTCACAGAATTAGGATTTTCATCTGAAATTGTGTTATTGTCATTTCACAAATATTTTTAATTGATAACTGACATTTTTTATGAACTTTTTAAATGACAGATTTTATGTACACTTTAGACACAAAAACCTAATGAAATACAGAGAACATGGGCACAACTATTTACTACTGAACTTAGAAGTCCAGGCTGTATCTGTAGTTAACATTTACCAGAATTTTATGAATGTGTTGTCACTATGTTTGTTTTTGATAGAGTTGATTATGCTTATATATATTTGTACATTTAAAAAAGGTTTTAGTAAACTAAACTAAACTTAAACTAAAAAAAAAACAAAAAAACATGAACAGTTCAGAAAAGGCAAAAGTTAATAGGGAAACAAAAATATTATGTATTTCATATCCTCTTTCTCTATCAGCAGTTACGTTTCTTTGAAATTTTCTATATTATATTTGTGACGAGGATCTGAAATACATCATATTTTCTTTTCCCTATTAATATTTACCTTTTCTGAATAGTTCACATTTTTTTTGTAATATATTTTTAGAAAAAGGTTTCTAAAACCTTTTGTAAATGTTCAAATATATTTGAACATAATCAACTTTATTCAAAACATACAGTTTGTTTTGACTCCATTATCTCCTGGGAAGTTGTTGAAAGTACTTATTACTGAAAATGTGTAACCTAAACCTCTATGCACACCACGATAGAGTGAACACTACTTGGAAATATTGTGCCTATATAATTAACTTGTTACACCTATTGTGGATATGCAATTATCTGTCATTGTATCTGTATAAATAACTCAAAGATTATTTGTATGTAACACTTATGCAAAAAAAATATTTTTCTGTGCTCTCTCAGTTCCCCCATTTTGCAACAAAATTGTCTTTTGACCTGGTTTAAGTTTTATGATTCCACTCTGTTGATGATCAGCTCACAGTCAAAGCCACGCCTCCACATTAAGGAACATGATATTGCCGTGTTGCAGCTTTAAAAGGCTGACTCACTTCCTCTTGGTTAGACGCACTTTTACAACCCTTCCAGCATATTTTTCCAGGGAATTCACTCAACTCTGAGCAGTACATGGAAATGGAGGATCAGATGGAAAGCCAGAAGAGGAGAGGAGTGAGCAAAGACACGCTGATATGTAAGCCAAATATTATTTTTGTTTGTTTCATATGCATGCTTAAACGTGACTTGACAGTCTGTGTCATGTAGTGTAGCTGTTATCACTACTTACAAATAGGTTTTTTTTTTATTTGGTTATTAAAGATTTTAAGTAATCCTGACCAGGTGTTCTGTATGTTACATGACATGTTTTTCACTGTTAATTATGACATTAGGAGTTCAGCGTACTTCATGAATAGATAAGAACACGCCTGTGTTGATAAAAAGCAGCGACCTAACCCAGAGGAAAGCAGAACTCCATCAGCGTAGAGACAGAAATCACATGTCATTAAGATAAACAGTCACTGAATCCATGTGACTGAGAATTATTTGCTTCTTAAGTTTCTCTTAGCATTTTCTACACTGTGTGAAGCCAAGCAAAAAGAAACCCTGTTTTTCAGAGCTTTGACTAACAAGTATGTAAATTTGGGTTTTTTAGATACGTGCTTCTTTCCACAAAATACAATAGAGCGATTGTCTATACAGTATTTGAAAATACACAAAATGCTTATCTATAAAACTGAAACTGATTACAATATGATCCTGTTTTCTTTCTTTTTTTGATCATGTGAAAAAAGAAGAGGGTTTGCTGCGTTTCTTAAGATTCACAAATACAGCATGTGATGCAAGTCAACATTTCATTTTAGACCCTGGTAGCTTTTTTGTGTTTGCGTCGAAAGATCTTGAGAGCCCATAAAGAAATAACTGTCCCTTAGATTTTTTTTTTTTTTTAATTTGCAGCTGGGAAATTTTCTCTAGTTTTGAACAACAGGAAGCTTTTTCTTTGTTCAACTGATTTCCTGAGACTTGGTATAATGTGGTTTTGGTTTAAATGTGTCCGTGTGGGGGCTGACACAGCAAGAGCCGCAATGCATAAAACTTTCCATCAATGTGTGATTGTGTTTTCTCTGATAACAACAAACATAAAAGAAAATATCCTCATTGCTTCTCATCTGGAAATGCACTTATCACTTCAAGCTGAAAGCAGCACCAGTTGTGTGTTACTTTCCTTTCTCGACAAAGCCTTACTCCAGAGATCATGTTGCATAAGTCAACATTTTAATAATTGCTCTTTGCACAAATGTTTTTGTTTGGGGGTGCTCTGTCATGATCTCAATAATAATATAAAATAAACCTTCGACACACCTTGTAACTGTCAGTGGCAGTTAGGTCACAAGTAAACATGTTGTCAAATAAAGCATTAACATTTCTTTGGTATGCAGTCCAAACAAAAATGTAATGCTTTAATGTTTAATGCTAAAGTCCAACTTCTAATATTACTTTTGTATATTGGCAGTTGTGCAGTGATTCAGATTTTGTTAAAGTAGGCATTTCCAAGGTGGCACTTGATGTAGCAGAAGCACCCCATGTATGGAGGCTATGAATCCTCAACACAGTCATCCAGGGTTTGAAGACTAACCTTCAGACTCAAACTGCATTTCTTACCCTCCTTATCAAATCAAATCAAATCAAGTCAAATTTTACTAGTATAGCACTTTCAGCACCAAGGCATTTCAAAGTGCTTTACATCATAACAAAAACAAAAATACAAAGTCATGCAACATAGAATCAACAATCAAAGCATTACATTAAGTCAAGTGCCGTCATTAAATTCGCAATTGATTACGTTTCAAATACAACTCGAAACAGGTGGGTTTTTAGTCGAGATTCAAAGGGACTCAGTGTTTCAGCTGTTTTACAGCTTATCTTTATCTTTGTTTCATATCTAATTACTACAAATGCAGCATACTTGTGCCACAAAACAAAACAAAAAAACAGGCATTTCTTTACAATCAAGAAATCTGTCAAATCATTTTCTGTTTCTTAACACGTTTTACAGACTTAGTTTTCTCTCTCACTAGCTGAAGGGCCGGTCGGATCTCTGGGATGCTGCGGCTGGGTGCTGGTCATCCTCTCAGGGCTTTTTGTTTTTTTGACCTTCCCAATAACAATCTGGGCTTGCTTTAAGGTGAGTGAGCTGAACACCAGAAATCACCCATTTCGTTTCTGTGCAAACAAGAACATGAACTGATTGTTTGCGGCCAATACTGCAGATTGTTCAGGAGTACGAGCGGGCCGTCATCTTCAGGCTGGGCCGGATCACGGACCGAAAGGCAAAAGGACCAGGTGTAGTAATCATGTCTATTCTACTTTTGTCCTACTTTTTTCTTTAGCTTTAGCAAAACTCTCATATACCTGCACCTTGATCTGTATATCGGCAGGAATTTTCTTCATTTTGCCATGCACCGATTCTATTGTGAAAGTGGATCTGAGAACTGTGTCATTTGACATCCCGCCACAAGAGGCAAGAGGCACACAACAACACACTCTCAGAGGAATTTCTTGTAAAAGTCAGTTTAATATTATGTCTATAATGTGTATTCTTGCTGTAGATTCTCACTAAGGATTCAGTCACTGTGAGTGTGGACGGTGTTGTGTACTTCAGAGTAAGCGACCCCATCGCCTCTGTGGCCAACGTGACTAACGCTGACTTCTCCACTCGGCTGCTGGCACAAACCACCCTCAGAAACGTTCTTGGCACCAAGAACCTGGCAGAGGTCTTGTCTGATCGGGAGGGCATCGCCCACAGCATGCAGGTAAAGAAGCTGAAAGGGCTCTTAAGTTGACTTTTGTTCCCTCCTTCCTGATTCACATACGACCAATGTGCTTGCTAAAGACCTGGAAAAGTTATGAAGCTCACCCCAAGGGTAATTATTATTGTTTATGTATATGGAACCGGTTTCTGAACCAGAATACTTCACAGCAGGGATGCAGTTAGGATTTTTAGACTTGGCGGGACTTAATCAGTCAAACTTTTCAGATGTGGATAGATTAAACTGGATTAATGTCTGAACTTTCACAAATCAAATAAAGGTTTCAGAAACCACAAATTGTGTTAGGATTTGGGGTTTATTGGGTTTTAGATATTCTGAAAGTAGTGTAAAATAATCAAGTCCAGGTTTGAAGAGTTTTTTCAGCAAGAGCAGATTAAAGAGTCCACTGACAAGTTAGGTGGAATCATCTGTTATTCTTCTGCGTTCACCATATGTCTCTCTGTCAGGAAACCACACAAACCAATACAAGTCAGTTTGGTGCTCTCAGTACGTGCGTGGTTTCTTATATTTTCTATTTCAAAATAAAATGAGAAAAAAGGGATGTATTTTTTTTTTAAACTGAATTACAAAAACAACAATACTAAAAACAAAAAAAGATACAATCTATTACATTTCTTATTGTAATTTTTTATGGTTAGATAAAAGGGAAACTTTATATTTTGTTAGTGCCCCAGTTGCAGCGATACTATGTGTTCTCTTGACTTACAGCTCAGAACAATGTGCTGCTGTGAGCTGTCCTCATCTGCTCGGTGTCACATAAAAAAACTGTTTTATGTGGAGACTTTTTCCCACGGAGCAGAATTTTCCCACTGAGCAGCTTATCACTTTTATTCCACATCGAGTCCCCCTGAGAACGCACAGAGTCAAGTACGCCCCACTCTGTGGGAGTTTACACAGAGTGAAGCTATTTATGTCACTGGTAACACTTATGTTTCTGTAGTACACTGTGTACCACAGAAAAACAACATTTGTCTTCACAAAAATAGTGGTCTCTTAATACAAGGGTGACTGTGGCTGTGTGGGTAGAGTAGTTGTCTTGTGATCAGAAGGTTGTAGGTTCAATTCCAGCTTCCTCCTGCCACATGTCAATGTGCTTCTGGGCAAGGCACCTACCAATCTGTTTATAGATGTGAATGGGACTCTAGTGTAAATGTCTGGAAAAGCACTATATAAGTTCAGTCCATTTACAAGCTGCAAATTTATTAAGTTAACTGATTATTAAGCGTCAATTTTTACCAATAATGTAAATTTGGGCCTTGTACAGAAAGGGCTGAATAGGTTTGGACTAGGTCACTATGAATCTTAGGGTTTGGGGGGGTTCATGTCCTCCTCATACCCCTGGCCATCTGAGCCCATGCTTCATAGTCAACACAGACTTCCCTTTTCATATGTATATTCACTTATTTTCAATAAATGCATTTTTTTAAAGATGTTTATTTACTTCAATTACTTAGTTAACAATGTGAAACACAATACATATTATTTACACAGAGACTGATGTTTACAAGCCTTTATTTCTATTAAATATGATGATTTTTCTGCTTACTGCTAATGAAAACCTGGCATTTAAGATTAGAATATTATATCAGATCAATATAAAACATTGTGGCTTAATTAAAAGTTTGTCTAGTACCTGCTTACAGGTTACTTTTAAACTTTCGAAAGATTTTTGTTTGTTAAATATAATGCTGCCTTTCGTTTTCTTCAAATGAACACATAATATCAGTTTCAAATATGAGGTAACGATCCTCTTTCTCTATTTTCCAGTCAAATCTGGATGAAGCCACGGACAACTGGGGCATCAAGGTGGAACGTGTGGAGATCAAAGATGTGAAACTGCCTCAGCAGCTGCAGAGAGCCATGGCCGCCGAAGCTGAAGCAGCTCGAGAAGCCAGGGCAAAGGTCAGGACACTGAACATGATAAAACCAAATAAAAAAAAACAAAAAACATTTGGTTGTGTTTTTGCTTTATTTTAATATCCGTCTCTTGCTACAGGTGATTGCAGCTGAAGGTGAAATGAATGCCTCCCGGGCCCTGAAGGAGGCCTCCCTTGTTATTGCAGAGTCTCCATCAGCCCTGCAGCTCCGCTATCTGCAGACTCTCAACACCATTGCAGCGGAGAAGAACTCCACCATCATCTTCCCACTGCCTATGGATGTCATATCTCACTTCATGCGCAAGTGAGGCTGCTGAAGCTATCATTTGGAGTATGAGGAGGAAGGAGTCGGGCTGCATTTATTGCCTATGCTAGAGGGAAAAAAAAAAAGCCAAAATTCACTGCCAATCCTTCATGGCTTAGTGATTGTTAGCTTTGATCAAACAGAGTCTTTCTTATGGATGTGATATAAACAGAAAATGTAATGCCAATGTAATGTGGTTTTTTAATTTTGTGTCTGCAATGATGTACAAGTAACTTAATGTCGAAAAATTCAAAAAGATTCTCTTGTATCTCAATTCTGGAAACTCCCAAATGAAATGCTAATGTGAAATTACAAAGAAACTAAATGTGTTTTTGAAAAGTCATGTTTTGATTTCATAAACTCTTACAGTGATACAGTTTTGAAAAGGCCAAACTAAAACTCTTGGCTTTTTCAAACTTTTTCCTTTTACAATAATGTGATGTGCATCTGTATTTGGGCACTTTGATGCAAAGCGTCTTTGCCAATAATTGTATTCAGATGTCTCCTAAGCAGTAAACAATTATGTAAGTAATTTAATTTCTGTATGCGAAAGACTCTAAATTTAATGAAGAATAAAAAAAAATCACAAACAACCTTGTTAAAGGGACAGTATGTGTTTTCATATGGTGCCATTTTATAGCATAGTCAAGTTACTAAATTACCTTCAGTTATTCTGAAGCTGAGCAGAATTGGCAAGAAGGTGGTAGAGACTAATCACATGACAATCTGGGGAAAAAAAATCTGCTATGGGCTATAAACCACTTGAGAGAGAGGCAGAGGTTAGTTAATCTTCCAGGATGATAACAAATCATAAACATACAGCAAGCCTTAAGACGCAACAACTTAGAATCAAGCATGCTTATGTGCCTCAGGGGCCCAATCAAAGTCCATACCAAAATCTCTTTTGAGGATCCTTGAGATTGAGAAATTGCCTTTCAGAGATACTGTCCATCAACCCTGACTCACTTCCCCAATGCAAACGTACAACGCACCCTTCATATTTTGATACAGCTAAAATGTGAAAGGTGTGCTGTCCATAAATGATGAACGAGAGGAACTGGAGAAGGCCTGGAAGGTGAAGACCACAGTGGTGCCTGTGGTCATCGGGGCCCTCGGGGCAGTCACCCCCAAACTGGAGCAGTGGCTCAAACAGATCCCAGGAACAACATCAGACATCTCAGTCCAGAAATGTGCAGCCAAGATACTGCGCAGAACCCTCAAGCTCCCAGGCCTCTGGTAGAGGACCCGAGCTCAGAGGATGAGAGAGAGAGAGACCACCCGCGGAGGGGGAGAGGGGAATGTTTTGGCACTGTATATCTCTTCTCATATAGTGCCATATGAGAGAATATCCTCTTGTAGTTGGATATCGTAAGGAATATGAGGTGCAGTTGGGTAAAGATTCTTGAATGGCAGAACTCATTCTGAAAACTCATTCTGAAAAGATAGCACAAACACTGTTACCTTTTCTTAAACACTTTAATATTGTCCTCTCCCCATAAATGACAAACAAAAGCATCGACAAACTGTCTTCACATTACATTGTTGAACGATCTTTTTCCTTCTCTTGTACGTCTCCCCACGCTACAGTTACAACCCAACCATGGACAATGCAGAGAGGTCAAAGAAGAGAAAAGGAGAACAAGGACAGCAAAGGCTGAGAAAACATGCTTCTATTTCTGTCGGTGCACTAAGACACACAACTCTTGTTCTAAATGTATTTACATTCAAACATACAATCAGCACCAAAAAGCTTGTCTCAGGATCAAAATCCGTAGGAGCTAAAGTTTTAAAGATCACCTCTATAAATTTTAGTCATTGAATTCAAGGTTGACAAGCCACATTTGCTACAGTAGCATTTGGAAACCAACATGAGTGTTAAAAACATCGCCAAATATATTTCATTATCCACGCTGTTCTGTGAGTAGTTTTGACCAAATGCTACATATTCAATAGCTGCTACAAAATGATCACAAAAGAGGTCCTTCTTTAGTAAACAAAATGGCATGAAAGAGTTTTACAAAATGCAATCATTACAATTTTGACATTCAGAGCAAAGTGAGACACAAATGTCCACGGGACACATTGCAGGGTCTTTACAATACCAGTTTAGGGTTTAGAGACTCTAGTCCATTCAAAAGATTTATTTTGAAATTCAGAACTGTATGCTGCCATTTGTAAACAATAGTTTTGTTGCATCCTGGTAGACTGTAGTTTTTGCACCTGAGGTGAACCTTTAGGAGGAATCTTTTAGTGGTGTGAGTGAGGAAAAATAATCCCAAACAATCTGGAAACAGTTTTTGACTGGTATTTTTTTCTCATTCTTTTTGTGTGTTTGTTTTTTTTTTTTTTTTTTTTTTTTTCCTTTTTACAATTGTGCAGACATTCTTAAAATCATCAGGGTAGAAAAAAAGAAATAAAAGAACTGTGACCATTTCAGTACATTTCTCAAACACTGCAATTGACATTCTTCTGATAGGAGCATTCAACCCTGTGTCCACATCATACAAAAAGTTGAAGTGTAATGAAAAGAGTTCTTTTCAAGACCATCAAAAAGTGCTGGTAAAGAAGTTACAGACCAACATCTCCCATAGCTTTTTTTCACCCCCGGTAAAGATGTGTGAAAAGCATTCTAATAAATATCTCCTTTATTGCTGCAGCAATCCATCATTTAAATTAAATAAGGGGGTAGGAAGATTAATTTAACCGCATTTCTAAAATACTTCTCAAAATCCAGAAGCAGTTTTTCTCATTTGAACAATAATCATTGAATTCAGCCGTGGTGATAAACTTTTAACTGGTAATCCATGACACAAGGGCCAATTTCTGCTAGCAACTCTCCAGCATGGGAAAGATGAGAGAAAATGCACTAAAGTTAGGCTGAAGTATAGCTTTACCTTCCAAATAAATGTCCAAAACTTTCTGTCAGAAAACCGTTGAGGAAAAAAAAAAAAGAAGAATTTATTATTTACTTTAAAGGCTTTTGCACACATCTTTACTGGAGAATTGTTGTTACTGAAAGCCTGGTCCAATAACGTTTAAATGAAGCTCCCCTGCTGAGCTGGAAACATTCAAATCAAGTGTGCTGGTAAATATCTTTTTACATTTTCTTTGCAGAGCAAGTATTCAAGAGAATTTTTTTTGTAATGACCAGCAACGGATCTCCACATTAAAACCCCATTAAACCCGACTACTTCAATTCCCAAATGTCGGTTTACCAGTAAATACGACTATAATAACTACGAATCCAAATGCATGCTCCCCTTGGTAGTAAAACTGTTGACACTGACTCTCTAGATCTATCTATTTACAGTGGGTAAAGTTTAAACTGTTTCAGTTTTGTGGATAAAGATCTGTAGCGTACAGTATCTTATTGTAAGCCAACCAAAAGATCATGACCCTGAGGGTAATTTACTGTAAGAAGCAGACATAACACACCATTTGAAATAGTGAAAAGGCAAAATGTAGTTTTTACCTTTACTCTTTTTATATAGGAATAGTTGGCTTGTGGTGTGCTCTGCCGATTTGTAAAACAATTTGGGGGGTGGGGAGGAAATCTTTTTAAATTGTTTTTACAGGGCAGCTGTACAAAAGAAAGAAAGAAAATCTTATAAATTGCAACTCAGATTTCCCTGAACGAGACATTCTAGGATGGTGTGGTTTCCTTTAGTATGCAAAAGTATAAAAGAATTGCCAATTGTAAATTAAAGGGTATTACAAAAAAGGCGATGAAGAGGTACTACAAATACAGGTTCTACAAGATCTACACGAATTAAGCACATCACAAAAGGTAAACACATTTTTTTTCTGTTTTACCTACATAATTTAGAGGCATTTTACACAAGACAGTCCCCTCGAAGTTTAAGCTAGAATTTTTTGCATCCATGGGCAAATCCAATAATTTATGCCCTGTTTGTTCTAAACATGTCCCCTGTTCACTCAATGAACTAAAACACTACGCATTCATGCACCACAGATACCGACTGTGCCTAGCAGAACGAATCCAAGCCCCTCGAACTCTTTGTCACACTACAGCAACAAACTTTACTGTATTTTATTTGGATTTTTGTGATAGACCAAACACAAAGTTGGGCAAAATGAAACAAAAACTGATCTTTTCAACTTAAAAAAAAAAAAAAAAAAAAAAAAATCTTAAATGGATAGCACACCTCACAGAATACTGCTTTGTTGATCATCTCAAAATGGAAAAGGTAAAGACAAGCACTTTAAACATTGAAATGGTGTAGATCAAAGCGGATAATCATGCGCTGGAATGGTTCAATCAAAGTCCAGTCCTAAATCCATATGAGTCAGCGGTGAGACTTGAAAGTAGGTGTTCACAATTGTATCCTTGCTGAGCTATCATGCAATTTTATTAAAAAAAGTAATAAAATGGACAATTACTTGAAATGGATGAGTAAATCTGGCTACTTGGTGTTGGTCTATAACATAAAATCCTTATAAAAACAAAGAAGTTTGGGGCGTTGATGCCATAAAATGTGAAAATATTTAAGGGATGTGAATGCTTTTGCATATTCAAACCAGTGTAATGTACAATATAGTTGGGCTCTCCAGATTATCTGCTCTACTGGGCTCATATATCTGTATTCCACTTCTGTCCCATGACAAATATTTTTAAACTTACAAACACACAAATATTTTCTGAACATTTCAGCATCAATAAATAGATCACAGCAATAATCATTTTTTACGTTAAAACTGGAAGACTTTCACAGTACATGCTTGCTTAATTAGCAAAAGACATGTAATAAATAAATCCGTTAAACATTGCACTATAAAGTAATAGAGAACAGTTAAAACAATAAATCCTGTACGAGGTTTCCCTTAGCTCTGAGCGCTCCATTAACTGTTCTGCTGTGTTCTGATTGCTGTTGTTGAGACACAACAGACTGCACATTCCCACTGAGGTACGTAGAAAACAGCAAACACCCATTTTGCAAGTTGACCTGAGGGACCTGAAGTAAAGAGGAGCTTGTCTTGTAAAGGAAGACCTGGCAAGGCTGTAAAAAATACAAAAGTATTTTGCAGGTAACATGGCTCCGCGGAGGTTAAACTATCAGCACTGAGCTAATTAGAAACACTCAAATAGAACTCGAGGAGGCAATTTGCTTCGATTTACAAACCAATTCTTGAACCGAAGTCCTTTATAAATAAAACATTGGTCACTCTCTGCTGGTGAGGTGGTAGGACCAAGTTTAAGGCGCTTTGTTTAGTCCAGATGAAAGGAGAGGACTGACTCTCCTTCCACATCTTATTCTGATGGAGAAGAGCTTATTTTACTGAGGATGCCTGTGTGTCTGCGTGTGTGTGTGTGTGCGTGTGTGTGTGTGCGTGTGCGTGTGTGTGGGCATGTGAATGCGTTTTTGCCACACCAAAGTATCATATTCTGGTGAACTGAATGCGTAATTTCCATTTCTACATTTGCACTATGCAGGACACATGCAGGGGAGGTTTATCTATCAACAACACCTGTTCTAATATTTAACAATATTTACAGTGTGCAATTAAAAAGACATGAACACACACGGAACAGTCAGGAGCTGTTCAAATTCAGAAAATTCAGTTGCAGCCAGCA